CATTATGGTCATCCTCCTCCATCATCCATCATTCTCGCTTAGGTGGCGAGCATCATGGCCATCATCATAATCGTACTCATGCCCAGGGCCGTTTCTTGTGCGCTCTGGGTCACAACCAAGACCTAGATTTGTGAAAGTCTCTACATCAAGATCCGTTTTTCATGTCCCCAAAATAGAAAAAGGACGCTGCAAGGGACCTTAATTTAGAGAATTCCTTTTGCAAGACCAGCAAAAAAAGGCTGCAATTCGAAACGCTCTTTCGTAGATTGGCGACTGCTTCCCCTCCGTCCAGCCAAGGTCATTCATGACCCCCACTTTGGCCACCACGACGAAGGAGGAGACCTCCCAGATGCTTATGGGTCTTGGTTTTGGAGTTGGTTGAGAAACCTACTGCAGGCTCATATTCATCATGTTTCTGCAATCGGGTGTGAGCCACTGCGATTCGAACACCCTGCTCCAGCCGCACAGTGAGATCTCCTGTGACGGTCATTAGCATTACTAGATAGGCCTTGGAGACATTTTACAGTTTCCCTTGTTGGACCAAAGAGGATCTGATATACGATTGTTTTTCAAATGCTTTCAAGGGCTAACCTAGATGTACAAGGTACCCCGATGTCGATTTCTTGACTCGCTCGGGGCTCGGGGCGGGATCGTTCTAAACAGAGACTGTAGCTTGGTATATAATCAGCCGCTTAAAACGCACATGTTAAACCTAAGCCCTGATCCTAATCCCTTGCATCTTATCGGCTTTGTGAGCCTAGCAAAAGCAAAGGCTTTCCCACGCCACCCCCCGCCCCCGCCCCCGCCCCTCATGAGTTTGTCATGTGCCAAAAAATTTTTACGCCCTAAACCATAAACCCTAAACCGGTTCAACCAAAAAAAAACCTACCGGTTTCCGTTGCTGCTCGGACAGGCTTTAGCCACTTTGGCGACCACGGCGAAAGGCCGGGGCATGGTATTTGCACTTTGTGGTGTGGTTCCTTATAAGAGCCCAAGGCTTCAGTGGCGCCATCCTAAACCCTACTTGGAAGGGCAGGGGACTTAGTAAGTAGGTTATAAGTAGAGTTATAAGTACCCTAAATGGAGTTACCCCAATTAAAACCCTACTTATAACCTACTTACTAAGTCCCCTGCCCTCCAAGTAACCCACCCTAAAAACCCTAAACCCCAAACCCTGAGCCTGAGCAAATCTCACGACCCAGTCGCATGGGAGACTTCAGGACCCTTATAGTACCCTTATGGTAACCCTTGAAAGGAACCCTAATAGTACCCGTATGGCACCCTTATGGTAACCCTTTAAAGGAACCCTTAGGGTTTAGGGTTTAGGGCAGGGTTTATAGTACCCTTATAGTACCCTTATGGTAACCCTTTAAAGGAACCCTTATAGTACCCTTGCAAGTTCAGGCCGATGTACGACTGCAACCACGGCAAGCCGCACTACTGGTCCGAGACGAAGAAGTCGCCTGGAGCCCCAGATCTTACCATTGTTTTTTTGTTATGGTTTAGGGTTTAGGGTAGTAGGGTTTAGGGTTTAGGGTAGTAGGGAATGGAGGAATGTGTACAATTGCAACTACTATTACCACCATTTCCATTCCCTACTAACCAAAGGTATGAGATTCGTGGGTTTTGAGGTTGAGGGTTTCGGGCTGGTAGATATGGGAGTTTCCGAAAATGGGGGACCCTAGTGTAGTACCCTAAATAGTAGGAACCTTTTTTATAAGGACACCAAAATAAGGTACCCCTGACTTTCGGAAACTTCCATATGCGTGGCTTTGCTGCTTGCATCCTCCCGCAGTTGTGCGAACATCTCGGAGCTCCGCGCCTCCAGAATCCAAGAAAAGTATAAGTAGAGTTATAAGTACCCTGAATGGAGTTACCCCAATTATAACCCTACTTGTAACCTACTTACTAAGACCCTAAACCCTAAACCCCAGAGATCCCTTTTAAGGAACCCTATAGATCCCTTTAAGGGGCCCTACTTACTAAGTCCCCTGCCCCTCCAAGTGCTTGTCTCGAGCTCTTCCATGCCTGCGGTCGCTGCCTCCAGGCCCGATCCCTGAAACCTCCGGCGCGCCCTAAAACAGGGGCCTTAATAATGAGATAATTACCTATACTATTCTGGGGATTCCTTATTGTAATTATCATTATATTAAGATGGGCCCAAAACCCTGTTCTAATTATAAAGGCCCCTATAGTAAACCCTAAGTTCCTAAACCAAACCATTGAACCCCCAACCCCTAAACTCCAGATTCTGAGCCCTAAGCCCCAAACCCTAAACCCTAAATCCTAAATCCCAACCCCCAAACCCCAAACTCTGAGCCCCAAACACAAAAAAGAGAAGATCCCGGCTGTCTGTGGTCCTCCGGCACTGTGAGGCACTGCTGCCGTTACCAGGCCACGTCTCGGAACTTCACTTTTCAAGACTGACCCCAAGCTTTGCGGCCTTCAGGGCTGAGAGTGTAGGGTATACATGAGTGTGATGATTCTCTTCCTTTCTTGTTCCAGGTGAAAGGCTCAGGGTTTCGAGGTTTTGGTAGTTGTGTTGCTAATGCTTCAGGCTCAGTTTGCCTAATGTAAAAGCTTGAGACATGAGGGTTTTGATAAATGCTGAGCAGTGAGCATGGTTTAGGTGGCCATCGCACATTGGTGCTAGAAGCATGGAGTGCAGGCATCACAACAGAGAGGTCGTTTGCATCGGCATGTTATGCATCCGCAACCGTGCTGCCACACACTTACACAGTTACACACTTGTGGCACTCATGGCCCTGATACAGGAGACATTGGGCCCGATAGGCCGTCAGCAAACGTTCGTATTTGAAGGTCGTGGTATTCCCGTTATATTCATACAATCATGTGTAAATCCCAACAGGCCGTCGGAGTATGTCATACATGTGTGGATTGTTTGGGATCTGTGCTAATGTATAAAGGCTCGTGACAAACAAACCCCATGGCCTCAACAAGGACTGCAATAGCTCTTGGTTAAGTTAAGGCATGTCTACTTGAACTGACACCGCAGATGGCCACCAAGAAGTAATTGGCACGGCACAGCTGAAAGACTGCACCGCATGTTTTTTACTGGGTTTCAGCGCGTTTGAAACAGATTTGACCAGGTGATCAAACGGAACTACGATACGTGTGTTCGACTCGTAAGTTATGAGGAAGACAAGTGCAACTATTGGAACATGTATTGTGCTCTGGCCAAGCAGGCTTCACGAGATAAGCTCTTTGCGTATTCGTTGACCGGACAAGAGCACAAACGCCTTTTTTGACTAGGCTAGGCTACATGTCCAACCTTTTGACCCCTAAACCCTAAACCCTAAACCCTATAAAGCAACCTGGGCTCCAGAGAAAGCTGTGGTTTTCAAAGGGGCTTGCAGGGTTTCTAGAGGTCGCTACTGCAAAGCTTTCTTGACTTAGAGGTGGCTCCTATTTGGGGTTCTATTGTACGACAGACAACTCCAAATGCCTGACTTCGCAGAACATCGGATGTGAATTGGCGGGCGAGTTCGACTGCACAGTTGGTGGAAGCCTCGACCCGGACTTGTTTATGAACATAGGAGTTTCCGAAACTTAGGGGTACGTTAGTCCTTGTAGTAAGGATCCTCCTATTTAGTTAGGGCCCTTACATTAGGCTCACCTATCTTCTGAAACTCCCAGGTAGGCCTTGAGAAGGATTGAATGCAAGCCAAAAGCCTATTCTTATTAAGGCCCCGACCAAGACCCCACGAGCTACCCTCCGTTGTATCCCAGGTCTGTTTTGTTCGGGGTTCCGAGATTTCCAGTAATTCGGGCATTAGTCCGTGAGCTGTGCATAAGAAGCTCGCAGCTTAGATTCGGGCTTTGGGCTTGTTTAGGGTTTTGAGACCGTGAAAGACCTGCGGGGAAGCCGTGTTTTTTCCCACAATATTGGCGGAGATGTAGCCCTAGATCCTCTCCCTCATTTTTGCGTATGTACAGCATCTCCATGATTTTCCTGTGCTCCCTGCATACCCCGTTGTGTATCTACATACGGAGAGCCATGCAAGGAAGGAGAGTCAAAGAGAGAGGCCACTTGCTATCTCGTCCAACCCTGTACAAGCACATGTCTCGCATATTAAGTTTTTCTAGCATTGAACTCTGAACCCTAAACCCTCAAGCCCACAAACCTGAACCCTAAAACCGTAAGTCCTAAACCCCCCTAAAACCTTAAACCCAGGCTTGGCCACGTGGAACATGGGTGCGACACCTCGGAGCTGTCTTGATGTTTTCTTTCTTAGCAGTACAGTAGGTTTAGGGTTTAGGGCCCTAGATACCCTAAACCCCTCTGATCCCTGTGTAATCCCAAAAGGTTAGCCTTTATAGTTACCCGACCTACGATGCATCGTTTTTCCATGGGATCTTTCAAGTTTCGGAGTTTTGGGTCGGTCTTTTTGGGGGGCCTTCGGGGTTTAGGGCCTTGAGGCTTGCGCCTTAGGGGTTTATAGGGTTTAGGGTTGGGGTTTTCTTTAGGTGCTTAAGTTTAGGCGGTGGTTCTCCGGAAGCCTGTTCTCTGTTGATTTCAGCCCTTGTGCCAGGCTCGGAACCAGCCTAAACTGTGCGCGCATATGTGTGTTTGTGTCGTTTTGAGAGAGGAGGTAGCAGCTAGACTGCAGTTTCCTCATTTGTTCCAGCTTTCGACAAGCAGGGCAGACTCATCACCGACAGTGCCCCTAAGCCGGTGCCCTCAGTTTTCGGGACTCGTGTGTAACATTCAAGTAAGGTTCTATACTGGAGCACGGTACTGCTGCACCCTGTTAGCGGACCACAACATCATCATGCGACATTGCAAACGGCAGAAGCGTGAACTTTTTGCCACATTGCCGCCGTTTACGCAGCCCTCCCAGCAGACCCAACATGCTCAACATAGCATCAAAAAACAGATCAAGTGCAATGGACATGACCCAGAGCCATTGCAGATGCGTGGATAGTGCAGCACGCGTGGGCACCGCGGATTTTCGGGCACGAACTGTGCTTCTCGAGCCATGATCTCACCGTCCCGGCTCCTCGTCCTCGTGGCATGTTCTGTGCTGCTGGTTCTGCTCTCGGCCGGAAAGATGGAGCAGCCTGCGAGGCGGCTCCTCGACTCTCAGAGCCTTGCAGAAAGCGCCCTTGCTCAGGCCAAAAGGGCCGTGACCTTCCTCCCGGCTGTTCCAAATCTGGTCACTCCGGCGACTTTGGCTTGGCACTTGCTGATCGAAGTTTTGCTCTTCCTCGCCATCGGGGTTGCAAGTACGCTGCTGTTCGCCCTTCTTTGGGGTGGGATGCTTTTTTGTCTGTCGGCAGGATGTCGATGCCGCTGGGAGTCATACGATCCTGTCACTAAAGTCGTTCTGGTGCTGAGTGGGCTCTCAGCTCTCGTGGCTGCAGCGCTCGCATTGCCTTGGGCCGCAGCGAAGATGAACATCTCCTTGTTGAAGGATTGGAGACGGCTGGAAAGCTGCATGCATTTGTTCGACCGGCCTGAGCACGCGCTTCCCTTGCACCCCGGGAGCCAGCTTAGCAAAAGTGAGCAGGAGCAGAGGTTTGACTACTACGTGTCATCGATCCTGTGGCTAATCTTCGTCTCCTATCTGTTCGGGGAGCTGCTATCGTGTCTGGGGAGGGAGGGCCGCAGGCTCACCGCCTGGATGCGGTCAGAAAGCTTCACGCCACTGCCGGTTCATGAGCCCCGAAACGAAGATGACGTAAGTTGTCAACTCTTCTGTTGGCACCGCGTTTTCTGGCATGTGGTCCTGCACATCTTCTGTGCCACCATGGCATTGTTATCTTTAGCCACAGGTCGCCTGGATGCCAATGACGGCCTCTGCTGGGAGGTCTACGAGTTCTGGGTGCTGATTATGCTGCCGATCTACGTTCTCCAAGCCGTTGGCCTTGTGCTCTGCCTTCCCAGCGATTGTGAGGTGCCCTCACTGGGCTACCCAATCGTTCAGGCGGTGCTGCCGATCCTCGGGGAGCCCCTCGATGTGTTCAAAGACTGGCTCTTCATTGGGCTGGCGGTGGCCACGCAGGCGCACTTCGGCTACATTTTGGCAACCTTGGGGGTGCTGGTGCTCTTCACTTCCGGCGCCTACATGCAAGCCTTCCATTCGAATGACCTTCTGAAGCAGCTGTCGCCGGTGCAAGCCATCCGGCACCGGAAAGTGAGCTTTCTGGATGGCCAGACCTCGCCTGCCAAGCTTGCTGTGGCACTGACAGAAGACCTGCCCCAAGCATTGCTGCAGTCCGTTTTTGTCATCGTGTATGGTGGCTCCACGATGCAGTTTCTCTTCATCGGGGTCAGCTGCATCCGCATCTTCGCCTGCCTTGCTCTTCGCGCAGCCGTCCTCGAAACCGCACAGCGCCATGCGGAGGCTTGGGAGGCGCGCAGGGCCAGGAAAGAAAGTCGCTGACACGGACAACCAGACAACCGCTCTCATTCATCAAGGTTCAGACCTTTGTAAACATGAGGACTGAAAGGGCTTGCAAACTTTGCACGCAACCAAACTTCAAACTTCAGTTAATTACAAGCCACTCTGACAGCGCACCATCTCCAAATAAGCACGGTTTGCACTTGGCAGGCTTCAGGCTTCAGCAGCTTGTCTGGTTTTTAGGAGCAGCGGAGAGGGTTTCGCTGGATCCTCGTGCAGGCTCAGGCCCGCTTCCTGCAGCTGCGGCTCCGCCTCTTCCAGGCAATCCTCGGCCCACAGCACACATGGGCGCTGAGACTAAAACACAGTCTGGCTGAGGAATTCAGTAGGCTGGGCAACCACCAAGAGGCCTTGCAGATGTTCCAAGAGATCCTGGCTGCTCGGACTGAGGTTTTGGGAGCAAGCCATCCGGACACGCTCGTCGCACAGGGAGACATGGCATTCACTCTAAGCAGCCTTGGCAGACAAGAGGAGGGGCTGCAGATGGACCAAGAGGTCCTGGCTGCTCGGACTGAGACCCTGGGAGCGCGCCACCCTCGCACGCTCACAGCCCAAGGAAACATGGCAGTCAATCTAAGAAGCCTGGCAAGGCATGAGGAGGCGCTGCAGATGAATCGCGAGGTATTGGCTGCTCGGATTGCGACCCTGGGAGCACGCCACCCGCGCACGCTCACAGCTCAAGGAAACATGGCAGTCATTTTCGCAGAACTGGGCAGGCATGAAGAGGCCCTACAGATGAACCAAGAGGTCCTGGCTGCTCGGACTGAGACCCTGGGAGCGCGCCACCCGTACACCCTCACAGCGCAAACTAACATGGCGGTCATTTTCGCAGAACTGGGCAGGCATGAAGAGGCCCTACAGATGAACCAAGAGGTCCTGCGTGCTCGGACTGAGACCCTGGGAGCGCGCCACCCCTACACGCTCACAACACAAACCAACATGGCAGTCATTTTCGCAGAACTGGGCAGGCATGAGGAGGCACTGCAAATGGAACAAGAAATCCTGGTTGCTCGGACTGAAGTCTTAGGAGCACGCCACCCGGACACGGTTCTAACACAAGGATACATGGCAGAGTGCTTGCATGAATTAGGTAGGACCGAAGAGGCAATACAAGTTTGCCAGCACGTCCTGAATGCCCAAGTAGAAGTGCTGGGCCCCGGCCATCTCCAGACGCAGCGCAGCCAAAGCAGACTGGCTCATCTTGTGGAACGTCGAGAGGGCTTCGAGCCAGCAACCCTCCTGAACCGACATCGCCGAGCGGATAGTCCAGGAAGGGGCGCCGAGAAGAAGAGCACAGGCCAGTGACCCGTGTAGCATGGCACTATCGTGCCTTGCAACCCCTGCTTTCGTGTAGGGATCACCAGGAGTTCTATATGCAGGCTGAGAGTAAGAGCCTACAGTAAAAGTAAGTTATGGTTGGTTATAAGGTAAAGCATCGTAGACGTTCGATCTGCTGGTGAAGTGCAGGAATATGCTATAGTATAGCGCAGCATAGCAGAAGGCAGTACAGGTTTACTTGAGTACAGGTCCGTGCATATGCGCGAGGTGTCGTGTCACCTAGTCTAGGACTCCTATAAACTTCGTGCGGAGCAGAAGCTGCAGGGTTCAGGATTTGGGGAATATTATTGCTATTACTATTACTATTACTATTGCTATTACTAGTACTAGTACTAGTACTATTATTATTACTATTACTATTACTATTACTATTACTATTACTATTACTATTACTATTACTATTATTATTACTATTACTATTACTATTACTATTACTATTATTATTACTATTACTATTTTTATTATTATTACTATTATTATTACTATTACTATTACTATTACTATTACTATTACCATTACTATTACTATTACTATTACTATTACTATTACTATTATTATTACTATTACTATTACTATTACTATTACTAATACTAATACTATTACTAATACTAGTACTATTACTATTACTATTACTATTACTATTACTATTACTATTACTATTATTATTACTATTACTATTACTATTACTATTATATTACTACTATTTACTATTACTATTACTATTATTACTATTACTATTACTATAACTATTACTATTACTATTACTATTACTATTACTATTACTATTACTATACTATTACTATTACTATTACTATTACTATTACTATTACTATTACTATTACTATTACTATACTACTACTACTACTACTACTACTACTACTACGACGATACGATTACTATTACTATTATTATTACTATTACTATTACTATTACTATTACTATTACTATTACTATTACTATTACTATTACTATTACTATTACTATTGATATTACTATTACTATTACTATTACTATTATTATTATTATTAGTATTACTATTACTATTACGATTACTATTACTATTACTATTACTATTACTATTACTATTACTATTATTATTACTATTACCATTACTATTACTATTACTATTACTATTACTATTACTATTACTATTACTATTACTATTACTATTACTATTGCTATTGCTATTACTATTACTATTACTATTACTATTACTATTACTATTACTATTACTATTACTATTACTATTACTATTACTATTACTATTACTATTACTATTATATCATCCCGAAGTTTTGAGTTTACCGCAACACTGCGCAACACTTGTATGACAGCTGAGACAAAGGTGCTGCTGTTGTATACGTAAGTACGCATGTAGGTACGTGCGTCGTACGTTTGTAATGCCTGTGTTGATGCTCCTATATGTATGATGTATGTATATATATATATATAGAGAGAGAGAGAGAGAGAGAGATATGTTTCATATACGTAAAAGCCATTCACGCCATATCCATTACATGCGAGCAACGAAGGGGGATGTGTTTTCACCGCCAGCCGTCAAGAGCATGGCACGAGCTATTGCGCAAATGCAGTGCGCATCGGAACGGCATTGCGAGCAAGTTTTAACTGTCGCAGCGATAGCGGGCTTGCTGTTGGATCAACAACCCATATAGTCGTGTGGCGCCTGTGTCAGTGTCTTCGTTTCTTGATGACTAGTTGCAGGCTTTGTCTTGCGAGTCCAGCATGCCTTAAATTTGCACGATACCTAATATCGTATTTTTAGCTCGTTACCTAGAGGCTCATACCCTACTTCTGTTTTGGATACCTATAGAAAAGTTACCCTAAAAACAGGGGTAGGGTATGAGTGAGCCTGCAGGTAGAAAATACGGTAGGTTTCCTAAAGGAAACTGTTGGGCTTGTTGGGTACGAGTCCGAAAGCTGCCTTGACAGATTTTAGTTAGAAGCTGCCCCCACCCTGTAATAGTGACTATAAGGATTATATTAGGGCCCTATTATATTCCTATTATACCACTATTACAGGGTAGGGGCCCCTTCTAAGATTTTAGTGTTCTGCAGACGAGGAGCAAGGAGCCTCGGCGTGGCAGGCGTTCGCTTTGCAGAAGTCAAAGCCGACAACCCAGAGACTCCAATATCCCTTAATTAAGAATATTCCTTAAATTATAGTAGGATCCCTAATATGATTTAAGGAATATTCCTTACTTAAGGGATATTGGAGTCTCTGGGAAGTTCCTGGTAGCCCTCGCTGCTGAGGAGCAAGCAAGACGAAGGACTTAGGAGGAATTATAAAACAGCGCCAGTTTGTATCATGTCAGTGCGCGAATATCCATCCTGAGCACAGGGGAGATCATGAAGGCTGGTGGGGATTTAGGGTTGTTGGGGTGACTTGAGTCCAGACTCCCTGAAGTCTCTTAGGCTTTAGGCTTCGTCTTCGTTCTTCCTGGGATACGTCTCGACACTAAAACCCTGAACCTCAAACCCCTAAAGCCACGAATGCCGAAGCCCTGAACCCCGAAACCCCCAACACCTTATGTAATTCCTCTAAAACCAACAACCTAAAACCCTGGCTCCGAAAATCGCAACTTGAAAATCCGAAACTCCTAACCCTTTAGACCTGAAATCTGAACTAAGAACCGTAATGCCCAAACTCCTGTCGCCTGGAACATACGCTCCTAAACCCTAAACCCCAAACCCCCGCACCCAAAACCTGAAGCTCTGTAAACCCGAACACCCCAAAGCCTAAACCCCAAACCCCGAAATTCTAAGTCCCAGCAGCATCCAACAGTCAAGCTCCAGTCCCCAAGCCTTTTCAACCTAAAGCTTTTCAACTCCAACATTCAAAATTTAGACCCGGAGCCCTAAAACCTCAACCCTAAATCCTGCAACCCTAATGCCTAAACCGGAACCCTCCGACCTCCACCTGACGCAGATTGGACCCCCGACAAAAAGACCTGGTGCTGTGCCCATAAGGGCCTTGGTTGTCAGATCCTCAGACAGCTCCGGTGTTTTGGAGGTTTTTTGGGCTAGGGGCGTATTTGTATGATTAGTATTGTTGTTATGACGATGAAATTATTGCTATTACTTTACTCTTAGTATAGTAGTATTGTGTGTAATTGGCACCATTGCCACTACTACTATTGTGATTTTATTGTTGTTGTCATTACTCTTATTATGATTCTTAGTGATATTGGTTTTAATGTCATTCTTAATATTGGTATATTACAAAGGGGATATATTAGGTTCATGAGGACGCTCTAGCATGGATTTGGGTTTAGGCTTCAGCTCCAATGCTTGGATTTTGTGCATCATGGGCCAGGGGCTTTGGGTGAAGGGTGTCCTAAGCCCTAACTCTTCAGGTCAGCGAGGTCTCAGCGCACAGTAGCGCCGATTTACGTGTATATCCGTGTATCACTATTGTGTGAACTGCTCTTGTAATAGATGAGGCGCATAATTATGTTATACACATGCGGAAGAGAAGTCATGCGAAGCGGGGTGAAGGTGTGTTGGAGTTTAGAATTGTTTTCTTGTAAGACCTTCTTATATAGAAGCTCGAAGAAACTCCATTTGATTCCTGATATCCAAATCCTTAACCCGAGTCCGTACCCTTCAAACCCGAGAAAAATGAAAGGCCGCGGTTTTCGAGGCAGTCGTTTGCTTCATCGGCCTTTGCATGTAGCAATAGAGGGCTGGTACTGGGTTCGCGGCCTAAGAGCGGCTTGCCATACTTATACACCCATCTTGACTCGCGCTGTACAGATTCTTAAATGCTCAGAGTTTTTTCCAGCTTATGATCCACATTGGCGCAATTTTTCGCCGGAAGCCGGCACTCACAACACAAAGCCCGGAGGTGACCTTGCACAGCGTCCTTTCGTCGATGCCTCAGTGTGTTTTGCTGCTGGTTTGAGATGTCTGCGCGGCTTTTCCGGATGTGCCTGATCCTGCATTTACACCTTCGGCCTGAACACTGGGAGCTTCCAAAGCATTCAGGGTCTACGGGCGGTTTATAGTCTATGGCTGTTGCCAAGGACTGCATGGCTGGTCTTCGTACGTGGCGACATGGATGGTCCAGCAACAAGAAGCTTTGGTGCTCCCTCCCCTCTCCGCCGGTTAGCAAGCAAAGCACATAGACGCTGTACGCATAGGTTGGGTTTTGGAGATTAGGTTGTAGGGTTTAGGGTTTTGGTGGAAGATAATTGTGCAGAGCAGCCATAGTCGATCAAATAAGCGAGAGTCCTGAGTCTACTCGATGCGTACGACAAAGGACAGGGGAGCCGCGAGCGAGACACATCATCATGATTGTTACTATTTTTAGTATTATTACTTCATATAGTACTATGCGTGATACCTCGAGTGTAGCTTCCTTCTTTAGATCCGAAGTTAAGCTGCATTGTCATTGACGCCTCAATCCCCATCCCTTGTAAAATGTAAACCTTGAGTCGAGAGTTTATGGGTTTAGGGGGAGCCAATGTAGATGTGCTTACCCTCACGAAGCTTCACGTACAAACATTCAACTACGCTGGGATCACATGCAGAGATACCGTGTGCCGACAGCCATGAATGTTTTGCGGCACTTGGCTCTGCCATGGGAGTGCACGGAAGAAAAAACATGAGTCCAAAGCCGATCTTCGCTCATCCATGCCCCAGACTCTGGATACCACCCTGCCCCAATCGAATTACTCAACCTCACAGTCCCCGTCGTTTCTGTCCACTGGTTTGCAGCCATGGCACGCGCTCGGGCACTGTGGCACCGTGGCGTGGCAGCCTTCCTTGCCGTGGGCAGCGTCATGCTGGCCGTGCAGGACGACCTTCAGCCGGGTGAAGCCTCGCGGAAGCCCTTTCGTGCGCGTATTTCTGTGTGTGGGAGCACAGAGAAGAAGAGGGAGAAGAAGAAGAAGAAGTGCATGCACACATCAACTCATCGACAATAGGTCGCAGCATGTGATTACTTCTTCGTTGTGTGGCTGTTGTGTTGCCATCACCTGAGAAACCACGTGTCTGCACCATTCATACCGAAAACCCTGAACATTAAAGCCCTCATGCAAGAAACCCTAAAACCGAAAGCCGCAAAACCCACAACTCAAAACGCTAAACCCTAAAACCCCAGGCCCAAACCCTAAAGCTCCAGACCTTAAGCCAGCTGAAACATGATTTTAGGGGACTTTTTCGGACTCTAGCGCCACATCTGTTTGCGAGACGGTAGGAGGGTGAACATTTGTGCATTCATGTAGCTCCTGGAGTAGAACCCGTTCTTTTGATTGGAAAAAAACTCTATATATTATAGACTTAGTATAAGCAAACATCCGGAAGTCCAAGTTTCTGGGGCTGTTCGAGAAAAACCCACCAGCAAAATTCACACTAAACTCTTTCATGACTTTTTGGGCAGATCGCCGTGCGGACTACAGCGCGCGTAGAGGCCTAAGACACACTGCCTTTCTGAAACTACAGCCTTCCTAGAGGCTTAGAGCATACTAATTCACTGCGACTGTAGCCCTGTTAGGAGGCCCAAGACGTAGCACTATTCATCATTGTTACATAGGTTAATGCAGCCCCTAAACCTTAAACCCTTAAACGCTGAGCCCCTAAACCCTCAACCCACAAACCCTAGACCCTAAACCCTAAACCCTAATTAATGTAGACCGAAGCCCTGTTTCCGCTACTGTCTCCAGGAAGGATGCTTCGCCAACTCTACAGCGCAGACATCCCTGGCACCGAAGCCGCAGATGTTCGGAGAGCCCCACACCCTTCAATAAATCTTACTAATCGTCATATCAAGGGCATATTCATAGTCGCAATGGTAACCCCAATCATAGGCATAGTTATAGTAATAACAATCACAGCAATAATCGTGAGGGATACAGACTGGGAAATTAGCGGGTGAATATCTTGAAACAAGGCAGCACCCCCGCGGTGGCTCTTTGGGTCCCATCTAGAGTAAACGGGAGAGTCAATCGACTTATGGGAGGAAATTTTGGAATGCACATCCCACGGCCACGGGACTTCTGCCAGTCTCTGACCAGCAGCGTCCAGCACATATTAGTACGTCAACCAGCTCAAATCCTGCTGCCTCGGCAGAATCCGCTAGTGGAAGTTCTCGCAGGGAGCATGCATTCACGATTGGAGCTGCGAACTATATAGATATGTTGAAACTCATAGAACTTCCATGAATGCACATAGACAAGGCACGATAAAGTCGTCACACCACACCTCCGCGTCATCGCTGTGGTTCCAACTGCGGCAAGGTACCTTAAGCCCCAATCTCGAACCGTTACAAAACAAACCGATATCCTCAATCCCTAGCCGCCCTACACTCCCGTCATAATGACTATGACAGGAATCCCAAATAGCAAAAACGCCGGGAACACAAACCTCTGCAACCTTTTAGCGCTAATCCAGTGAAAGAAACTCCTACTTCAGAACTTGTGAGCCAAGTGCAAAGCCTCAACCCTCAATCCTAAACCCAAGCCTTGGTAGAACTCAGCAATCCATCGTTGGATCAGGCTGGTCTGGGCCGGCTGCGCCGCCGAGCTGCAACAGACAAGAGGGTTAGGGAGTTTAGCCTAAGGCTTAGGGTTTAAGGTGCGTATTTTCACGCGAATAACAAGACAAATATACACGCATATACATTTAGGTACGTGTATGCGCGTCTGGGCTGATGTTTCAGGCAGGATACACATACATACATACATACATACATACACACCTGCGTACCTACATAGCTCACCGTTACATTACCTTACATTACATGACCGTATAACACATATACACATACAAGCATACATGCATGCATACATACATACATACATCATACATGCATACATACAGACATACATACATGTGTACATATAGGTACTTAGGCGATACGTACGTATGTGCATTCATACGTACATATATACATACAAGCACACATACATTGTTCCTGTGTATACATATATACACATACTTACATCTATATATATATATATATATACAGCTGTATACATACATATATATATATATATATACATATGTGTATACATACACATATATATATACACATATGTATAGTTGCCTGTGTCTTTATAAACATAAATGCTAGGTACTGTAACACGCTTTATGTTATACTGTATCATGGCATGTATAATGTCTTACTGTTGTATCAGACAGCATACATGGTACGGTATCACAATGTAGTGTATGGTAGTTTATCATCGCTTTCGTTACATTGTACTAATATTGTGTTATATGAAACGACACCAGTTTTGATACACTATATCAGAGTACATTCATCACATGTTATGATGTGGCATCAAATTATTGTTCATATTGTGCTGTTTTATTCTTTCTTAAACAGTATGGTGTGCTGTAATATTCTTTTGTACCAGAACAACATATATATATATTATAATATATATATATATATATATATGTGTTGTTCGAGCCTACTTTCGGTATCCTATCTCACCCTCGCTGTTGAACTGCATGCATTCACATATAGATATGCGTACGCAGATCTACATCTCCATCTACATCTACACGTGCATGTGCATGCGCATGTACATACATATATATATATATATAGGTTAACTGCCCATAGCGGTGCTAACATACACGACGCATCTATCTGTCTATGTGTTTTGATTTTATTGGTATGTATATATCTATATGTAAGTATGTAGGTATGCATGGGTTGCAACAAAGAGAGAGAGAGAGAGAGAGAGAGAGAGAGAGAGAGAGAGAGAGAGAGAGAGAGAGAGAGAGAGAGAGAGAGAGAGAGAGAGAGAGAGAGAGATTGAGATTGAGATTGAGATTGAGATTTGGGGTATACAGGCTTTCTTATTGGCTTTACGCACGGTGCCAGGGTCCAAAATTACGGTAGCATTTTGTTACAGTCAGCAGGGTTATCGGGTATATCATGTACAACAGCCCCTAACAGTCGGAGTGCGACTTTCCGATTTTGGGCCTTCGGGGTTTGGGTCGTGATTTTGGGCCTCATGGTAGACTGCGGGTTCACTTGTTGTTTTTCTGTTCGCACCGGATGCAGATTTCCTTGGGTGTTTCAGGTAGTCGGTGATGCCTCATGTTCACTGTTCGCCGCGGGTTCTAGGATGTAGTGCAGGCCGCTGTTCCCATCATATTTCTCCTCAAGACCCTTCTCTGCTTTCGGCCGGTCAAGGATCTGGAAGGAGTTGGGTTGTTAAAAGCCGGGAGGGTTCCAAACAAAATCTATTTCCTCAGTTTTCAAAGCCCGGTTTCTTCCGTTGTGCAAGCTGTGCAGCTTCATTAATGCTTAGGGGCTTAAGACAAAGATCGTAAAGCCGAAGGTTCTGAGGTGGTTTCAGCCAGCCCCAAGCCCTGAAGGCTCAAGGTAGCAAAGTGATCTGCTAGATGCCGAGGTCGTAACTCCGCTGTGGCGCGGCCGGCATTAAAGCATCTCGACTTGGGGGCAAGCCCCTTAGTAGAAAAACATACCGCAGAACCCTGCTTCAAGCATGAAGGCCCCCATTATTTTTGGAACCCTACTTTAGGCGTTTTTAAGCAGCTTTAAGGAACTTTTACAGGAAATGGGACCTTACTGTAGGAGCCTTTAAGGAGCTTTAAGGAACTGTTACAGGAATTGAGGAAGCTTCACGGGCAGGGTTTGATGCTAGGGCTTCGCCTATAGTCAGGCTTCGGGTTTCGAGTTTTGCGGCTTAGGGCTTAGTGTTTGGGGCTTTAGGGTTTGGGGGTTTTAAGGTTTGGGGGGTTTTAGGGTTTGGGGGTTTTAGGGTTTGGGGGGGTTTAGGGGTGGAAAAGACAGTCTGGAACCTGGTGGTGCCCCGCATCTGTCCTTGTGCCCGCAAATGGATTCAAGAAGCTCTGCTTTGCTTTTTTTTGATTGCCTTAAACCCCACAAGCCCTCCACCCCAATACCCCAAAATCCTGGGCCAGCTTCCCGCATCCTCGGCTTTGCCATATGCAGCGACCTCCTTAACCCGAACCCTTAACCGCCAAGCCTTCACATCCCAAACCTCCACTACCGCCCCCTGACTCTCGACAGCGCCGACACCAAGATCGCTAACCGAAAGCAAGAGCTCCCCGATATCTGCAAGCTAAACTCCTAGCCCCTGAAGTCCAAGCCCCTAAATGAAGTCCCAGGTACACTTACTTTCCTCTTTGGGCCAAGGGCCCGGCTGTGGCGTTAGCACTGCAGCACAGCGGTCTAGAATGGGAAGGCGCCAAACTCGATCGAGTTTAGGGGTTCTCAGGGGTTTGGGTTTCTAGTTTAGGGTTTAGGGATCAGCCGGTTTGGTGTATGGGCTTCGGGGATGAGGATGTAGGATTCAGAGGTTGTTTGGGCTTCGTTCGGGAAACAATCGACCACAGACCACCGAATGCTTGAAGCCAATCGCGTTTTGGTTAGGCGAGTTTCTTTCAAGACAGATTTTAGAGATGCCGGTCGGGATTCAGAAATTTCTGCATGTTCTAAGCCATCATACTATGGGGTTCGGAACAATAATTAGTACCAGTAACTAGCACAACATATGACCGACAAGACTCCGAAGAACATTTACCATGTCAGGGTCCTTAAGCCCCAAACCTTAAATCCTGAGCCACAAACCCTAAACCCCAAACCCTAAACCCACCCTAAACCCCAAGCCCCAACCCCCAAACCCTAAACCCCAAACCCCAAACCCTAAACCCCAAACCCAAAACCCTAAACCCCAAACCCAAAACCCTAAACCCCAAACCCTAAACCCCAAACCCCAAACCTCCTTAACCCAAGAGCGCCTCGTCGAGAGCCAGAGGCGCTTTCCCGGACGACTGGAAGACGCTGAAGCCGACGACTCCCTTCCTGGAGCTTCCAATTCTCGAGACTCCTGCTGGCACGCCGCTTCGGAAGCAGAATGGTTCTGTAGTCTAGGGTTGAATTAGGGTTGAGGGTTTGAGATTTAGGGTTTGAGGTTTAGGGTTTAAGGTTTAGGGTTTAAGGTTTAGGGTTTTTCAGGGTTTACGACTGTATACTTGCTACTGCCATGACTATCACCAGTATTAATTTCGCGGCAAAAGGGACCTTCTGGGTATATCATAGTATAGTTAAAGTAAGGGACCCTAAAGAATCGTCGAGGTATTTCTTCTGGCTCTACGTGATATTACCGGGGCTTTGTTCAAGGATCCCGGAGGGTTCTTCATTACGGTATTAGTTTACGTTCGGCTCGGAAAGTCCCTACTGTGTATTACTTGGAAGGGCAGGGGACTTCGTAAGTAGGGCTCCTTAAAGGGATCTATAGGGTTCCTTAAAAGGGATCTATGGGGTTTAGGGTTTAGGGACTTAGTAAGTAGGTTATAAGTAGGGTTATAATTGGGGTAACTCCATTTAGGGTACTTATAACTCTACTTACAACCTACTTACTAAGTCCCCTGCCCTTCCAAGTAAGACCCCTATGTTAAGCCTATAGATTCCGAAATCCCACAGCCCCAAAACGCGCGAAGGCCCAAGTTCCCGAAAAAAACGGAGCCACCGAACCCTTAAACCAACCATTCCCCCAAAGTTCAGGATTGTAGGGTTTGGGGGTAGGTACATATATGTCTACCTTAGGGCCTGGGAAGTAATGCTCAGGGTCTAGAAGGTTTTCGGCTTAACGGTCAATAGGTGTGTTGTGGTTTCAAGACGTCCTGGTTTCTTTGTATATCTCTGTCTCTCTATACGTCGGTATGGCCCTACAAACCAAACCGCATAAGATGTCAAGTCTCCGAAACCTTTGTGGTACATACCTTTAACCGATAGGTTTTCCAGTGCCTCAGTCCTAAACCCGAGCAGCTAAACCCCTAAACTCCTTAACCCAACTCCCAAACCCCTTAAACCCTAAGCCCAACTCCCAAACCCCTAAACTCTAAGCCCCCAAACCCCTTAACCATAAGCCCCCAAGCGCCTAAACCCAACTCCAAAAGCCCCTAAACCCCCAAAGCTCTCCGAGAGTTCCAAGGATTGGTCACGAGCTGGCCATCCTGAACTACATCGGCCAACAGTCCCAGAGGATGGCGGGTCATGCGCCCTGGCCTCAATCCCGAAGCCCCGAAGAGTACTACATCATGCTGTGCTCGAGTATCGGTTATGGTATAGTATAGTAGAGTATCGTACAGTAGAATGTCCATCCCGAAGCCTACACCCTAAAACCGACACGCTAAACCATACAGCCTAAACCCTAAACTCTAAAAAACTCTAACCCAGTGTATGCAGTAATGACGGCTGAGCCTCTGCATAGAAGGCCCATTGCACTCAAAAAAACCCTAAGCCCCATGCCCCAACCAGGATTTGACGGAGTTCGCCATCTCTCAGCAGTTGTTGAGCCAGGCAGCGATGCCTACGGGTGATGATATAAATCCTTTAAAGGGATCTATAAGGGTACCTTCAAGGGGCTCCTTTAAGGGATCTATGGGGTTTTAGGGTTTAGATACCCATAATGAGGGGTTAACCCTAATTCCCATAGTTTAGGGTCCTTAAGGCAATGCAGGATTTAAATCATCAACCGTAGTGGGGCCTTGCCAGTCTACAGAGTAGGAAGTTTTTGGCGTTGACGGGTTTAGCATGAGCTTAGGTCTTAATGCTTAGATGGTTTAGGGTTTTGATGTTGGGGGTTTCATGTTTGGGGTCTGGGAGTATAGGGTTGAGGGGTTCAGGGTTTAAGGTTTAAGAGTTTAGGGTGCAGAGTTTCGACTTTTTGGGCTGAGGTATGTTAGCAGGCGTTCAGGGTTCTGCGTTAGGACTAGACTAGACTTGGAATCTGCTTGTCTTCGGTGTAGCAGGCAGTCTTCTTGTTCTCAGGGTTTCGGGTTTTCGGGGTTTGAGTTTATGGTTTCTTGTTCCCAGTACTTCTTCGATCTGCGGCGATTTTTCCGTGGTTTCGAGGTCTCGACAGGACTTCAATTTCTGTCACAGTCTAACTCTGGACAAGCCACACCTCAAGCCATGGACCCCAAACCTGGAGGCCCTGAACCCTAAACTTTAGAGTCCTCATAGAACCCAGAGACTCCAATATCCCTTAATTAAGAAACATTCCGTAAATCCTATTAGGGAGCCGACTACTCTGATTTGAAGGATATTCCTTAAGGGATATTGGAGTCTCTGGGAAGAACCCTGAAGGAACCCTATTCTAAATGTGGTTGCCTTTGTTTTACTTGTCGGGCCGGAGATGGCCGGATCTGAAAAGCCGAGCCTGAGCGTCCTAAACCCTACGGCCCTACCTTAATCCCGAATAACCTACCTTGTTTGAGGATTTATAGAAGGAACTCACAATGAGGAACCCTAAAACGGTAGGTTATTCGTTAAGGTAGACCCTAAACCCCAAATCTGTGCCCAAGAGCCTCCCCGACGTTTCGGCTCCGCGGGCTATCGGTGTAGGATGTTCGGCTTAGGATTTCAGTCCTCGGGTAGGTAACCATTGACCCTTTGGGATACTACTTGGAGGGTCGAGGGACTTAGTAAGTAGTTATTATGTAGACTTATAAATACCTTGATAGGGACCCTAATTGGGGTTATGGTACTTCTAACTCTTTAAAATAACTGCTTACTTAGTCCCCCGACCCTCCAAGTGTAGCCACTATGTAATGCCAAAGGTTAGCCTTTCGTTCCCTGAGAATACTGGAGAACTCCTTAACCTTAAACCCTTCAACCCTAAAAACTCTAAACCCTAAAACCCTAGACTTACCTCAAACCTTAAATCCTTAAAATCTAAAGCCCTAGCACTAAACCGTCTGCTAGAGAGATATGGAGTTTAATGCTCCGTCGACGCCTTTGAACAAGTGCAGGCCCAGAAGCCTCAGCCATGGTAGTAACACGTGGGACTTCATAATTGCAATATAGGGACCTCAAAAATTGCTTACTATAGTTAGGAGGTTCCATATTGTCTCTTCTAACTATGATGGCCCCTTGCTTAGCAGGCTTGTAATGTTGTATTAAAGTTTGCACTAAAAACATAGGGGTGCGCTAAAACTAACTATAGTTGTTCCGACCTCTGTGTTGAGAATGGTGAGAACCAGGGCATGCTAACCCCACCTGTGCCGTTGAAGTTTGCCCTACACCTGACATGCATCAGGCAGAGGACATGTACCAGAAGATGATCAAGCTGAGTCTCCAGCTGAAGACGGAACAGATCACAGGCTGGCAATGCGCTTGTGAGGCTCTTGAGGTGATGGCAAAGCGTGAACGCTCCGCGCCAATCGGGAATGCGTGCATGCTCTGTAGCATTGAGTGTGCCAGGCAAGAGAGATCGTGCTAGAAGCGGAGTAGTATCTTTTAGCCGGACCAACGAATTTCTGGTTCCATGTTGGGTTCCGAGCGAGTCGTCTCAAAGGCTCGATGGGTTACCCTGCTTGTTGACGCTACTTTAAAAATACCTGCTCTCCTAAACAGACTTGCCCATCAGCTGGAGCCCTTTAAGTCCCAATCAGCTTTCCAACTTGTGTTAAGGTCACATGTAGACTTACATATTTACTGGAAGCATGTCTCTCTCACTATGATATAGATAAACCTATATGTAGTAGTAGAAAACTATGCTTGACTTCTGTTGTATATTTGTATCAACATACTCTTATTCCCCACAGGTGCACACAGTGGTCCTATGCAAAACAAAAAGAGACCCTAAACCATCCCAATGGAAGGTGAAGAGGCCGCTGCCTTTTGGACCGACGAGGATGAGCAGACGCACAACAGGAGACGTCCGAGGGCTGGATGGAAAGGAGGATTCAGATGAGTCAGGTTTAGGGGTTTCGGAGGGTATATAGGGGTTAGGGCTTAGGGTTCAGGCGATGAGGAGGATTCATGTTGCATTCAGGGTTTTGCGCGGGCAGTGTGGGCAAAAGGGCTGGCATGGCGGTGTTAGAGGCACCCCAGGCCCCCCCCGTCCCATGTCTCATTCCTTGAATGCTTATGTTATTTTACACCCACACGGCAGAGGAGCATGATACGCGTCCCTACAAGGAGTTAGGCTTCTCTAGGGATCTCGAAAAGCAGGATGCCGAACCCCTAAACCCCTGAAACCCCTAAACCGTCCCTAAATCCTAACCCTGTAGACTTTGTGAGGAACTTTGGTGCCAAGGTTTACCTGAAGCTCCTCGAGGACTGAGTGTCCGACGATTGAATCATCTGCATGGTTTTGGGCGGTTTAAAGGGCTAAGGTGTAGGGTTTTTGTTGGCACTCAGGGTTCAGGGCTTTGGGTTTACGTTAGGGCTTTGGGTTTACGTTTCAGCTATATTTTTGGTTTGGGGTGCTTAAATTTAAAATATGAGCATCCCGGGCACTGTGTACCACTTGGGAAGTCGAAAACACAAAGTCTTGGGCACGTATAGTAATCAGTGTCCGTTTACAGTCCCTCTACTGTTCTGTAGGCATAATGTAGCCCCAACCCTATTCAGATTCTTAAGGCACCTTTAGGAGTTAAGTTTTAGTCCTAGGATGGCAAGCCACTCACGTCAAGTGCTGATAGAGCTCGCGGCACTCTGACTATTACAAATGTCGCCATTGGCATCTGCTCTGCGCACCGCTTCTGTGCGCCTGCGTTGTAGCAGGTTGCCTTAAATTTAAAAGGAGGTTCATGGGTAGTTTTAAGTAGGGTTGTAAGTAGGGTAGCTATACTTATAACCCATATTAGGGGACTTATAGCCCCACTTAGAACTACCCATGAACCTCCAAGGGTTTAGGGTTTAGGGTAGAGAATCCGCCTCACGAACGGCCCTAGCTCCTGGCAGCTTAAGGGTTGACGAACTGTTACCGGAAGAGCTCTGCTTGGAAGAGCAGGGGACTTAGTAAGTAGGGCTCCTTAAAGGGATCTATAGGGTTCCTTAAAAGGGATCTATGGGGTTTAGGGTTTAGGGACTTAGTAAGTAGGTTATAAGTAGTGTTATAATTGGGGTAACTCCATTTAGGGTACTTATAACTCTACTTATAACCTACTTACTAAGTCCCCTGCCCTTCCAAGTGCTGTTGTGAGGCTTTCTACAAGAGCAGCGGTGGCACTGGTTCCTTGGCGAGTTGCTGGCTTCAGTGTTTCAGGGGCAAGTTATACTTTCCACCTTCATGTTTGCATGACATGCCTTGCATGCTGTCGAGTTCAAAAAAGTTGTCACCTTGGGGTACTGATGTTGTCGAGTTCTGCCAAGTTTACGGTTTGAGTTGAGATTCCTGTGGTTCCTTGATATAGCCACGATGCACTAACGTACGCCGATATTGAGGCTTCTAGACTCTATAAAAATTAAAGCAGGGGCCCCTGAAACTGCCCCAGAGTAATGCAGCTGTTTCCTTGGCTTTCCTCTTTGTCCATGCAGAGCTACGGTCAGGTTTAGGATTAAGGGTCGCTTGCAGACTTATATAACCCTAAACTCCTGAGAACCTAAACCTCCTATAAGGGGGCAAGTTCACGTCTTCGGGCATCACGGTCGGCGAATGCAAGCTCTTCTCGACTTTGCATGCGATGAAGCTCGCCAAGGCAGGGTCTTGGCTTTTGGCTCATTGAGCCTCAGACTTTAGGTAGATTACGTTTTCTATTTTCGGGGTTCGTTTAATTTAATGGGCCCCCAAAACCCTATTCTAACTATTAAGGCCCCTATAGTAGGTGGCTTTCTCAGGTAAGATGTTTCGTGTTGTGCTGTGGAATGAGCATTGCAACGGTGCTTTCGCTGGTCGCAGGAAGGTGCGCTTCAATAACAGAGGAAGGGGTTAAATGTCATGGTTTAGGGTTTGTGTCCTACAAGCTTCCATCTGTGCCCACGCCCGCGATTATGCTCGACTAACATGCGGCGCAAATGATAGTTGGCAGCAGTGGTCGCAACCAACGCCACAACAGACAGTGCAATGGCCAATCGGGCTTGAGCTTTGATGAGGAGTAGTAGCAGCAGCGCGCCAGCAGCAGGTGGTAAGAATTCTAGTTGCAGCATCGGAGCGGAAGATTGTAGACCTCGTTCATGGTGCTTAGCTTGGTTAAACAGAAAACCAAGACTTCATTCACCGACGATAGCGAGCACGACGAATAGAGTCATAGCCAAAGCCCTGCAAGTCGCAAGAGACGGCAGCAGCTTAGCAACAAATAAGCCGAAGACGACGACGTTTTTATTACTTCTGCAGCCTAGTAGCCTCGGGTCGAGCCACCCTCGTACTCGTCATCATCAGTGTCAGCACCACAGTGAGCATCATGGTCATCCTCATTCGAACCATCTTCGATCGCATCTTTGTGTTATGAAGCAAACGATGAGGCCTATTGATTGCCGCTGTCCATGCGTAACACTGTAACATTGGCACGGCCAGAAGGACGACGTCCTCGCAGACTATGCTGAGCTTCCCGGAGAAATCGCCAGTATTGTATCTCCCATGTCTTGCTAAGCCTGCAGGGCACTGCATTGTTCCGTTTCCTGCAGACGGGAGCATGTTTGAGCGGCATGGGTGCTTCGAACGCTTGCGACCCCTACGTAGCACCCTGCTGTGCCGGGAGTCTGGCCAGAGGATTCGCCCATAGTCGCTGTGCAAAAGCCGAAGCCGATTCTCCGATGCCTGTTGGTGACCCCTAAACCCCGCCGGTAGCCGCAAAGACCTACCTTGGCAGGGATACTTATCATGGTTTCTATAGATGGGTAGTTGTCAAAATTATAGCCCTTTAGGTGCCGTATTATAATAGGGACCCAAATCAGGGACCCTAATTTATAATTATATATAAAAAAGAACTCTCTCTCTCTATATATATATGTATATATCTATATATATATATATAGAGAGAGAGAGAGAGAGAGAGAGAGAGAGAGAGAGAGAGAGTTCAGGTGAAGCCTGAACCTGATCCGAGGCTTTCTGGCTTTTACGATCGCTTTGCCGCAGAGGCAGCGACACAAGCGATTCTAAAGGGCGAAGGCAGCTTGGCTGAGAGGTCTAGCATTTAGGGTTTAGGGGTCTAGCATCTGGTCGGCTGCAGGCTTCATCCAGGCTTCGAGGAATCAAGCGTTTTAGTCGGGCACTGTGCAGCGCGATAGTCCGAAACAATTGCGCAAGCCAGATGGGATGTTCGAGCAACGGACCTAATAACAAGCAACAAACAAAACCCTGACTGAAGTTTAAGATGATTTGTATTCATCCTCGACCCGAACGTGTGGAAAGCCGCTGAGGCAAAATGCCGGGCACCTTCAACCAGTACTTCAAGTTCTGAGCGGACGCAAGCAATGTGAGCTCAGTACAAACTTAGACAGCCGCACTTGCCAAAGTATGATTTAGATATTAGCATGTGCGGCGTAGCTGCGCCTTGGAGGCGAGAAAGACTTCATTGGTTGAAATGGGCAGGAGCAGAAAAGAAGCTGTCATGAGCCGTCACTGCAGGATTCGTCTGAGCATCCTGTCGTATCCCTAAACCCTAAACCAAAACCCTAAACCCCCAACCCCCTTTGAAAGCTTGTCAAATTGACGTAGGCGAGGTAGGCTCCCTTGTCATGCAAATAGACCGAGATCAACCGAAGTATGAAATCAAGAGATGGCAGAGGCGGCCGGAAAAGCTTAGAAGATGGTGGTCGTTGCATGCAGAGGGTGCCTTCATCACTCGTTTTCACTCCACAAGCCCCGTAATTCATACCCTAGCAGCAGCATGCACTACACACCCCCACCCCCTCAAACCCGAAACCCTAAACCCTGAACTCCTAGCCTTAGGACGCAGAACCTTGAACACTGAACCCCAACCCCAACCACGACCCAAAAGCCTCAAAGCCAAAACCCCCAAAGCTTGAAGTCGTAGGCCGTACCCCATAACCCTACCCCCTTAATCCCATCATAGAAGGGTAAAACCCTAAACCCTAAACCCCTAAACCCTAAACCCTAAACCATTATCCGAAATTCGGCACAGGTGCTGCCACCACTCCCACATAGCCTGCGAGCATGAGCCCGGCAAGCCGTCCTCCGGCTGTGAGATCTGCAATGGGTTATAATATAGTTCTCTCAACTAGGATCCCTCTTTAAAGGCCCCGTAATGGCACGGCATTCTATATAAAGAGGGCCTAGAAGGGGCCCTCTTGCGGAGAACTACCCTTTTGGGCGTTTCATATGGACTCGATGAGGCTCGTAGTCATTGAAGTGGGCTGTTTCAATCCTAAAACCCTCAGCCCCAAAACCCCCGGAGGGCTCGATGCTTCATGGGGCTTGAGGGGGGAAGTTTGTTGCTTGTATAGGGTTAAGGGTGCCGCACTGCTACCTAAGATTTTTCATAACAAGACGTAGCAGTGACGACGTAACAACCATTACGGAGAGGACGCAGTACCAATGTGAAGAGTGACAGGAACAGTGATGACGGAGCATGTTGTCCATGTTTGCGGAACTCGCAATTCTAGAACAGTGTACTGATGCAACATGCGTCAGAATGATGTTCATAACGACAGCAACTGTACGAAGGCCTGTCCAGAAGGGTGCAACGAGTCTCTATGTATGCTTGCAAGATTCCAAAAGCCAGCAGTAGCTTGTTGCATCCTCAGAGTACGCTGCCACAATTGCGGGCTTGATCATATCCAGTAGGCCGGCCTCATTTTGCGGACCGTGACAGCCTTCAGAAGAGAGGTTTAGGGCATTAGGGCTTAGGGTTTTAAGGGTTTTAGGGTTTTAGCAGCTGGTGGGCGACCGAGGCCCACTGCTTTTGGGCCTAGTTTTTTTCTCATCTCCGTCTTCTTTGGCTGTGCGAAACAGGAACGTTGTCCTTTCTGAACCCTCATGGAGCTACAGGATTGCAATCAGATACTTTTAAGTCGGAGTGGCAATATGGGTTCTGCTGGATCAACGAGGGCTTCGAAATCCAGATCATCAGAGTGTTTGGAGTGTTGGGTATTCAATGGTGTCGCATGCTTGTCGTGCAAACCGGCCCCGAAAGCAACATTGGCTCACCTGACTCATGTCGCTCGAAAGACCCGCAACAAGATCGAAAGAAAGCCAGTCGGACTGAGGCATCTAGGGCATCTGGTTGCGCACCCGGCGCCGCCGCCCGGGTCCTACGTCCGGCTTTTCTGGTGAGGTTCAGAGGGGAGGAATTCGGACGGCGGCCTTCCGGAATGGCAACTTCCGACGATACTATAGGGGATTTAATTAGAATAGGGGGTTGGGGTATATTATATATATATATATATACTTTAATTGTCATAAGGAGCCCCCAAAATAGTTTTGGTCATCATGAATGCCCCTGCGAGAGCGCTTGTCTTGTGTTGGTTGTTTGGCAGTGCCTCGTTCTGATGACATACTCGTAGTAGTCATAGAACTATTGAAACTTGTTTGGATGATTCCTAAAGTGATAGGAGCAGACGTGACGCACAACGGTATTTTATCCTCGCAACATAAACACTATGCACATCAAAACACAATTGAATGTGAGATGAGCGAGCCTGAAGCCGCTACAGCGAAGTTCCCAAGTTTGCTTCGAAGGAGTTTATATGCAGCAGTGCGGAGCCCTAAACCCTAAATCCTGAACCTTAAACCCTGAACCCTAAAACCCTGAAGCCCCAATCAGCTCCATTCTGCTCAGTGCTCAGGCTTTTCAACTGCCGTGCCGGTCTGTGGAACTTCCGAAAAGCGTGGTCACAGGAGAAGAAGGACGGCAATTGCTGGTGGCGAGCTCTTGGGTTCAGGGTTTAGGGGTTGAGGACTTCAGGCTTTCGGGTTGGTGTGTAACTTAGGGTTTAGGGTTTAGGTTTCGGGCCACTGTGCAATAAGGGTTTAGGATTTCGGGCTAGTGTGTAAATAGCGTTTAGCGTGTATGGTTTCGGGTCAGTGTGTAATGGAAGTTTAGGGTTTAGGGTTTGAGATCAGTGTGTAATTAGGGTTTCGGGTTTAGGGTCAGCATGTAAGTAGGGTGTCTGGCCTTGTCACAAGGTTTCTGCCAAGAGGAAAACTATCGAAATAGGCTTTCCTCACGGGGAGGGCCTGTCCAGATTCTGCTTACAGCCTGGAAGACGAGCCATGTGCTTTCGCTTGTTTACATGTACGCATAGCACAGCAGCACTCGCCGCAGCAACAGCAATGACAAGAATAACGGCTGGGTTGACAGCAACTCAGCAACAGCAATGAGCACGAGGAGCACAAGCAACGGACGCAACACGAGGGAAAGCGCAAGCAGCAGTCAAACGAGCCACAATGCTGCTAACAGCAAGCCGCAACCACATAACACCCGTCGCAACATCAATCGCAATCTTCACCGTCATCATCACCACCAACATCGTCGTCATCATCATCGTCATGCTCGTCATCATCATCATCGTCATGCTCGTCCTCATCATCCTGATCTTCCTCCTCCTTGCCATCGTCGTTATCATCACCATCACCATCTTCATCATCATCATCATCATCATCATCCGCTGCAGCAAAGCTTCAACCAACGGCCTTCCAGAGGCATTCTAAGCTTTAGGATTAAACTGATTAAACCCGCAATCCCTCGAGCCTAAACCTTAAAGTTCGGGCACTGTGCGATGGCGGCAGGACTGGTGTTGCGACCGCGAGCATCTGGGTTGCGAATCCGAGCCTGACGTGGTGGCCGGGGCTCCCTGCATTAGGGTTTAGGGTTTTTGGGGTTCAGGGTTTGAGGGTTTAGGGTTTTAGGGTTTAGGGTTTCAGTGTTCAGCGTCTTAGGCCCAGGGTTTTCTGGTTTAGAATTTAGGGTTTAGGTTAAGGATTTAGGGTTTAGGCTTATGGATTTTGTGTGGAGCTTATTCGGCACCCGAA